CTATAGTTTTATTTTCAGTCATAACAATATTTAATTATAACTTACAACAGTTTTGACATGTAAAAGTATATTCAGAAACATTTCTGTAACTAGTGCCCTCTAGTGTCAACAATCATAAAATCTGACTTTCATTAAGACTTACTGGATGTTTGAGGTTTGTCGTGGGTGAATATTCCTCTTGCACTGTTTCTATTGGTGGTAACCTGTTTGACCATGTGTGATACGGTGGTGATATACTGGGGTGAGGTGGTGAGCCTAAACGTTGTGGGTCAGCTGGGGTTTTCCTGAAATAACAAAAATGGAAGTCACACAAAAACTGAAAACATTTTTATGTCAATTTTTGTTTACTTAAATGATTGTATTGGGTATGTATAAAACATCTCTAACAAAATAGACTATAATCATTAATATGAATGGGGCAATGCATGGTTCATGTAATATGAACTGCCAATTATGGGTTCAAAATCCAATCCTTGATTCTTGACTGCTTTGGTGCCCTTAAATTTTCACTGCACAATTAGACCAAGGTATTTTCAATATGTTTTGTCTCGAAAATTCAAGTTTTGATCCGATGTCATATTTTTATTTGTATTTAAATACAAATAAAAGTGCATATAAAAATGATTTGTCATTTAATTTGAGTCTGCATGATTGTCTGCACTAAATTTAAGTGAAAATTGATTCCGAATAGACCAAAGCTGCGAATGGCCCGCAAGATTTTATTTGACGTGATACTTTTCTAGCTCCTCAAATAACGTTCCATTCTCTCAAATATAAATGAAAATGGTCCATAAGCCTTGGAGATACAGTAGTATGCTCAAAAAGCAAGATGGCCGCCAGGTAGCCATCTTTGATCTGATTGTAAAACAATTTGTCATGGACATGTAATCTAAAATGTACAATGTAAGTACCAAACTTGAACATGCATAAGATGCCACAATTTCAAAAAACAAAATGGCTGCCAGTCGACCATCTTTGATCTGATCTTTGAATTGAATCAGTAAACTACTGCATATGTCCCAGATAAAGTATAAGGCACATGCAGAGAATGAACAGATTTGGTCCACAGGTTTCTGAAATATGACTCCGGATGAACGGAGGGATGAAGACCAAATTATAAGTCCCCATTTAGAAATTTGCTCAAACAGGGACTAAAAACCATCAATATAATCAGGTCAGGCTAACAATGGATGCGATGAAAAGAAAGAAAGAGAACAAAATTAAATCTTGTGACTTTCTTTTTTTCAACAAAAGCTTGACAGTCATTTACGTCTATGATATGCTGTAGAAAAGTAAACATAATGTGCTGAGAATTTGTTATCCAGTGCCCCACTGGAATGAAATCCTTGACAGTCGGTGATGAATCAGAGAAAATAAATCAGGACACAACATCACACAGTATACCACATCAATATACTGTAAAACGATTTATTTTCACTGGTATTTAATTTCATGATTTTGAGCAACTTCACTGATTCTAAGTTAAGGAATTTGGCAAGGAAACAGAGTTCTATTGTTATTTTTACATGTTTATATGTATTTAATTTAGCGAAAGTAGCATAATTAAAACCCAGTGAATAATTCATGCATTTACAGTCTATTAGCAGTTTTCAAGAACATTCACTTACAGTTTTGTTCCCAATGCTAATAAACTGTATTCATCCGTCATGGGCGTCTTGGAACGATCCCCAATGGGCTTCAAAGGTTTTCTATTCATATATCTTGGACCTTGATATTTTGTACTTAATGGCCTACCACGATTTAAAGCACTTGAATGAGGTCGATTGGTCAATGCATCGTCACTAAAAACAAAAATTGTTTAATTATTACATTATCAAATCATCAAAATATTGTTGGATGTATATTATTTGTACATACTGTAAAATACTTTATTTTCACTGGAATTTATTTTCGCTGAAATGACTTTTTAGGTGTGTTATATGGAATTTATTTTCACTGATTTTTGGTGAGTTGAATGTAAAAGATAGGAAAAAAGGTATATTCGCTGGATTTTATTTTCACTGAATCATTCCTTCAGCGAAAATTAATTCCAAGCGAAAATAAAGTATTCCACAGTAGTTTAGAAGAAGAACTTCAAAGCCAAAGAAAAATATGTATGGATATGGAAGCATACCAATATACAAATTTGTTCTTTTAAAAACAGGTGAATTTTATTTGAAATCACAAAAAATGGAAAATTCATTCTAATTTCAAAACAGAATGTTAATGTATTTCTGAGAAATCCTTGTATACAGTCATATAGCCATCCAATAGTGTATTTATGAATGTATGCCAAAATATATGATGCCTTCACATTGTATTAACTCCAGTGAAAAAAACTTAGATAGGTTATCATCATTGTTTATCATTAATGACAACAATTCTAAAAGGCCAATTAAAATTTAGTTTATATATTTCTAAAGGGCCAATTAAAAGTTAGTTTATATAATTCTAAAGGGCCAATTAAAATTTAGTTTATATAATTCTAAAGGGTCAATTAAAATTTAGTTTGTATAATTCTAAAGGGCCAATTAAAATTTAGTTTATATAATTTTATCCAATTAAAATTTAGTTTATATAATTTTATCCAATTAAAATTTAGTTTGGGTAACTTAGACTGTTTTAGTTTTGAATGAGTGAACATACTGGAACATTTCTGTATTCTGCCATGTATGGGGTACTTTTGCCTGCTCAGACAGGTAAACAAGCAGCCTGTTGCGAAATAGCTCCTTGTCTTGTCAAATACGAGATATTATCATATCAAAAAATACATTAAATTCATGAAGGCCATAGTAGAAGTGATTACTCTTTTATTGTAACTTTGATAAATAATAGATGTACTTACTTTTTTCCCTTCCTTGTATGGATTGTTTTAGAGCCTATCTGCATGACGTCTGCTAAATTAATGGGCTTTGATAATTTCATCTATAAAACAACACAACATAAACTGTTTATCACATTCTCTCAAGTTTCATTAATTATTGTACTCTGAAAGGCTATCAGTGGATTTAACAAATGTAAGAAATTTGCTAAAGATGGAACGCTAACAACATACAAAGAACTTACATCAACTGGGAACTATGAATCTAAGCACATGGACAATGGAAACATATCATGAAGGTGCAGAGCAATGTTGCTGGTGAGTGTAGACGCAAATTCAAAAAAACGCTCACATCTATTACACATTTTGATGATGAATTCACTAAAACTTTGCTAAATTATTTTTCACGACTACATGTAATTGTTCTAAATACCGCCGAAAAAACATTGGGCACTTTGAACTAGTTTTTTGACTGATTGAACCAGAAGTTTATTGTACAAAAATGGTCACCCAAGTAGGGTGTTTACTGGGAAAAAGTATTTACTGTTTGTCATTAATTTTACTGACTGCACTGACTGCTAAATATGAAGGAGGAAAATATGAAATCTACTTACACTTGATTGTATTGATGCCATTTTGGGAAATCCCCTTGACAACGGAGGAGAGGGAAGGTTATAAACATTTTCTAGTGGACCAAGCTGTGATAATAGATCGCTCTCTTCAATTTGTCTTGTCACTTCATTTTCTAAAAGTATAGTCAGATTTCAGATATGAATCGTAGTCTGTTTATGGACACACCTGACATTCAAGATTTCATTTGCAGGATCTTATGCACGAGTTCAAAATACCACACATCCTGGTCATTCTGGGGGTATGAATTCACTATCAATGAGAATTTCAGTTGACATACAATATTGGATATTATTACCGATAAAAGGCAACAATACCCTCAGAAAGTACCAGGATGTGTGACCTTCAGGGTCATGCATATAGCCGATTCAGACAGGTTTTCATAGTTTCATGCAGCACATCATAGAAAAAGATTACTGAAAAATACTTTATTTTAGCTGGAATTAATTTTCGCTGAAAAGACTTATTGGGTGTTTTGTACAGAGTTTATTTTCACTGATTTATGACGAGTTGAATGTAAAATATAGGAAGAAATGTATATTCGATAAATTTTATTTTCACTGAATCATTCCTTCAGCGAAAATAGCGAAAATTAATTCCAAGCGAAAATAAAGTATTTTACAGTTACAGAGAAGACGGCAAACAACAAACTTTGTAATGGCATACATAACACAATTTGTATTATGGCTGATTATTATCTATACCACATTTTCACAATCCCTTCAACTTCAGTGCTAAAAGAAAAAGACATAAGGAATTGTGCTTCATGGTGGCGTGTGAATGTGTTGCATCACTGCTGTTATAAAATTATGCAAATTGGTGGTACAATGATTAGAACTACTACCATTTTTGTGGATGTTTAATATGTCCTATACAGAAATAAAAAATAATCAACTGAAATTGAAAATTGGGCATAAAAAAATATTTTATTAAATTCACAGAACAGTAAATATGAAAGCAAAAACGCCTTAGCCGAGTGGACGATAGGAACAACTTACCTGCCAAAGTTCTATCTACATATTTTTTAACCAACGGCCGTAACCATGTGATAATTTCACTCCATGCCGCATCAAATACTTGATTATTAATGGTGTCTTGTAAACATGCATTGGGTGTGATTGGTGGAAACCCCAGCCTTCGCGGCCGTGGATTGTGATATTTTTTCTGTTCAATAACTTCATCATCTCTGTAAACAAAAAAAGTGTTTAAATTTTACTTCCAAACTCTTTGAATAAAACAAATGTCTTGAACAAGATATGCATGCATCAAGTAAAAAATATTGTGGTAGAATTATCAATAGAGTGTGCCCTCAATGTGAGACATCTACTGTATGAGCGCCCTCAACGAGCCATTCAGGCAACTAAATTTTAAAATGAAAAACACAAATGTCAGACTCTAACCACCACATTGACTGAACACATCTCTGATCACTTTAAGTCTTTTTGTAATTTTCTATTTACCATCGATGCCATATCCTGGTATTTTTCGAAAGTACTAATTAACTATCATTGAGAATTTCCCAGATTATCCCAAAATACAGGTAAGTTTTCATTGAAGTTGAAAAACAGTTAAACATGGCTGAAATTGACGTACATGTACATATAATATTGGAAATTATTGTCGTTATAGAGCAATAATACCCTGAAAATGTACCTAGATGCATATGGCCTACCAGTATTACAGATATTTATGGATGCTACAGCTTCTATGATGGCTGACACAAGACAAAGAAACCAATCTACCTACTTGGCAAAGGTGATTCAACTTTTTCATAAATTATTTTGTAAATTTGTACTGATGCAGTGGATTAGTGAAAATCAAAACCTGTTATCATATTTTGATCGTAAACTCAATTTGTTGTTTGTTGTAGAAAACATAACTTCCGGCTGTGGTAAAACTATTCACAATATTTGACCTACATGTATAGCAGCCACCCATGAGGCAGCAACTGATTTCTATTGACTCGCATTTCCAATTAGTTCAGCATTGAGTACACTTTGCATTATTCATATTAATAGAGAATGTAGTAACAAACTAACACAGTGAAGTTTTAATCTTTTCACCACCAGTTCCTTCTTTTCATCACCAAATAGTCTGTACTTTTCTTCAAAAGATTGGGACAAAAATAGCCAAATTTTTGAGAACTCATTTCCAGAAATATTGAAGAATATAAGTAAAAACGACAAACGGCTGGGAGTCTGGTGGTGGAATAGTTAAAATTCCTCTAAAATACACACAAATCTTATCTTGTGGCACTTACGCAATTTTATCAAAGGCTAGATATTCTTCTATACATCCATCACTTTCAAATATTTCTTCTTCAAGGTGCGCGAACTGATGATTTGGTGATGTCGTTCTAGTGTCTGTATTTGTGGGTGCCACTACGGCATCTAGATGGTGACCCTGAATTGTAAGTCTGCAACAAAGACAATATATATATATTAAGGTGGCAGTTGTCGTGCATGTATTTTATGTATTGTGTACGTGGCGGCTATGGGTCCCTATCGAACAGGGCATGACGACTATCAGCTACTGAAATGCTACAGTTGTCGCGCATCATCCCTCCAGCCGACAAACAATGTATTTAACATGTGTTGTGTATGTGGCTATGGGTTCCATATTGATCATGACGTGTGATGTGGCGACTACCAGCCTTTAAAGTGCTACACCCGTCACACTTCCTCTAGCCTAGGTATTACCAATATGCTGTGCAATTCACAGGTCATTTACATGACTGAAGTGTTAAAAACAGTGTTTTCAATAGTCTGAATAGTAAAAAAAAAAACACAATAACAATATTGATTGAGCATGCATTGGTAGGGCATATGCACTACTGTATTCACCTATATCTAAGCTTTCAGATGGTGTATAGGTTGGTATAGTAGCATGCTTAGTAACATTTAAAGAATGTTTGACTCACAGATAAATACGTTTTACCCCTGTTGCTACTATAAAGTCACTGTTGTATTAGTCACAAATGTTTAATTTGAGAGTACACAGTGACCTTAAGGTCAAAGTCAAAGATTTTTTTTTTTGGTTAGACTTGTAACCCATCCATTGAACTAAGGGACGCTTGTAAACCATACACAGTCGTTTAACGTTGAAAATCCTTCTTACAAAATTCATTTTTATCATGTTGCAGCCATTGCCGACTGTTTGCGTTCCAAGCCTCACTCTCACTTTGATGTACTTTGTAATATTTCACGGCAACTCAATCGTAGGTATGATACAAGGATAGGAAACCAAGGCTTGGATGCAAAGTAAAGGGGAAGTCAAGCCAAACAAAATAAAGCTCCCTAAAGAAAGGACTCTATAAATGTAGGAGAATGCAATTTACAGTTTTGCTGAAAAATCAAGATGGTGGACTACATAAATTGAATATTTAATGAATGCAAAGTGATATAAAAATACTGTAAATTGCATATTCTTTAATTTGCTGAGCTTTTTCATCTGGGAGTATTACGTTGTTAGCCTTGAGTATTCCTTTATGTCAGCAATAGTTGCTATATGATAATAATGAAATGGGCTATTTGTTAATTGCGGTTTGATCTGATGATAAATATTAACTGTACAAACACTTTTTAATAACGCAGAACAGCAATATCACCAAAATCCCATAGAAATGTAGCCATGTGATTGTGGTTGTGTAAACTCCAGAGTAAAATAAACACATTTTTTCTTGTACAGTTGTTGAAGTTTAATATTACTACAGTTTAATATATGTTCAACTGTCAGTTAAGTCAATATTGGGTCCCAAGGGATAGGCACTCAGATACATCAATGTCAGTGGTCTGGGTACCTAGAATTACATATAGCATAACTATTGTACACTGAGGAACTAGATTAAATAACAAATGGATAGGTGGATGGATGAATGAATGGATATATCGATGGATACAAATTAAAATAATGAATCAACATTTTGTGTAAAAAAAAAAATTGCTAAATTTAGGTGGGAATAATTCTGGCTGAAAAAAGCTGGAAAACAAACTACAGTGTAATTGTAACCTTTTTTGATTTATACTCGTAATGAAAACAACATATCAGTTAACTTAAGCTTATTTTCTAATTGACAGATTTTGGAGAACACATTACTAACATCTGGTTCTTATTACCAGCTGTATAAAAGTATTCTTTCCGTATTATTTTTTTTATTCCAGCCAAATTGTACCCCATATCTTGTAAATTTCACTTGATAGTTACACCAAAATAGGTGATTTTCCGTACAATTGCGAGATCTCGCGGGATGCATGAAAGACGCGCGTCGAACGTCTGCCGCAAAAATCGAATGATTTGATTTTGAACTCGAATTTCCTTATTTCGTAGCTCACACCGACCGGCCAATCTTCGACAGAAGAATATTGCTTCCGAATACCCTTACTTAATCGAAATTGCCTATCATCAAATGTGGACAGCACATTATTAGGCATGGAAATGTCCCCAAAATACTTTCGCGTTTGTCGAATCCCACGCGATGCTTGACGCCACTACGACGCTATGACCTTTGTTTGTCCTGTTTTTACGTTCGATTTCACGCATAACGCATGATTCTCGCAATGTACGGAAAATGGTCTATTGAACTTGCTTGTCATTTCATAGTTTTGATAAGATTCCCGAATCGGAAGATGATCAGATAACAACTTTTATCTGATCAACAAGAAAACAACAATTTTAAGAAATTTAACCTTCATCTTGAAAAATATACATATACCAAAATCAAACTTAGCCAAGACCCCAAACTAGTTATTACAATATTAAAGACAGACATTTTCTCCTCATATACCTTGATTTTTATATGATGATACAGACAAGGTAAAATTGGTACTATGAGAATACAAAGCAACTGTTAGAAATTCATAAGAACTTGCAAATTTGGCTATTACTTTGATCATTTTGATTACACACGATTTAATTTATTTAACAATTATTTCAGGTGAAACAATCTGTGATTTGAAATATTTTTACTGTGGGTGAAACTTTGTCACATAGGAATGCAAATTGGATGTTTCATAACATCAGTAATCTCATACTGTTGCTATGGAGATTCATCTTGTATAATTGTCTGAAGTGGTAGAGAGAGGAAGGAAGGTGTGGTTGTATTAATGTAAACACACTGAGTGATGAGTCAAAATGAGCACTGGCATTGAAATTTGCATTTTAGTGGTATAAATTCACCTCTATGCATCAGTGCATTCCAACAGACATCCCAGACTTTACACATACATCATGTTATGCATACATGCACAATTGTTCACAAGGTTTTTGCTGTAAACCCTTAGTGAAATGAAGCTTATACTGTAGAATACTTAATTTTTGCTTGGAATTTATTTTCGCTATTTTTGCTGAAGGGATGATTCTGTGAAAATAAAATTCAGCGAATATACTTTTTTTCCTATATTTCACCTTAAACTCATCAAAAATCAGTGAAAATAAATTCCATACAAAACCCCCAAAAAGCCTTTTCAGCGAAAATTAATTCCAACGAAAATAAAGTATTCCACAGTACATGTATGTGAGCAAGAGTGTTTGCATAAACAGTTATATAATTTTGCTCAAATGATAACATTGTTGATTTCAAATGCTGCTATCATGGTTAGCTCTTTGGATATCACACTTTTCAAACAACAATTTTGCCGCAACACTATTCTGTATTTTTCTAGAATTTCATTATTAATCTGACCCAAATAGATAGGTCTTGCTCAAAATTTTGAAGGTTTATTTTGGGTCAGGTGAAAAAAGTTGATTTTGGTATTAATGGATAACATGGTGGTGGTTGTCACAGCATGCAAGTGCTTAATTTGTGTTGTTAAACACACACTTTTCCCACAATCCCACAAGTTTTGACATAGCAGTTTAGTAATTTCCTTAATAAACCTGGGTACCATCTATTTGCTTGTACATTCTGATCTGTACAACACACAAGTTATTTCCACAGAATGTGTGTTTGTTTCATTGCGATTAATACTACCAACAATGTACCATATTTGTTGTATGTTTGCCATGACAACCGCCCATTAAATCCATAAGTACTGTCCACTGACCAAGATACATGTAAACTATAAAATGTTGGGGCTTGATTCAAAGTGGGGTAATTTCATTGATGAAGTCCCGACATTATCACTAGACAAGGATATTGGTTCTCTGAAGTCTTGATGTCAGTTTTGCAAGTTAGTTTTCGGTGAATACATACCCCTGAGTGTCTGTCGTAGCGACAGCAACCATTTCATTGTCACCGACATCTAGTAGCATGTTGCCCGTGGACGGCCTCGGCGCTTCCTGCGGGTAAACTTGAAAACCAGCATCTTGGGGCTGGATTAATTGTAAACCTAGTATTCTGTAAAGAAACGAGATATTTATTGAATACTTTAGAAAGAATGATTGCAAACTGAGGCATTTCCCAGCATAACTAAGCTAACTGCTGTTAAATGCCTTGGGGAGAGTCTTTGTCATTTACACACATGAAAATATATCTGCTTCTGGGTAATGGCTAGCAAGTTTGCCT